CCGAGAAAAAGATCTTTCCCTCTACGTTTAGAAGGGCGATGTTACGGAACTGCCCTATGTCCTTGGAGTTTGTTTCCTTGGGAATGAAAACCGCTACTGCTCTTTGCCACTCGACTGGAATTAGTTGTTTTTTCCAGGCAGTTCTCATTAGGTACCATAGCAGCTCTAGTACCTTAGGGCAGTTCTTATAGAGCTTGTAGGGGACTCCATTGGGGCCTGGTGCAAAAGAAGACCTCGCTTTCTCCACAACTTGCCTAACCTCACTGAGCTTGGGAGGCATGGTGTTAAACTCAACAGTTGGTTGTGCAGGCTGCGGTAAATATCCTGGTGTTCCTAAGGGGACATTCCTTTGTGGATCGCTGTACTGCTTTCTGACATGCTGTTCCAATTGCTCCCTGGTAGTTTCAAGCTTGCCAGTCTTCTTTTCCTCCAGCAGCTGTCTGGCATGCTTGAAGGGATCCTTGAAGAAGCTGGCTCTCTCTTTCTGCTTCCGCTTGTTGCGTTTTCGGATGAGTTCAGCTCTGCGAAGCAAGGCTACCGGTAGTCTTTTCCTGACCTCTTCCCATAGGGCTTTTAGCCCTTCTTTGTCCGCAAGAGTGGCCTTTCTCCAGCTTTTCCGGAGTTGGCGACGCCTTTGTACCAGCTGGAGGATTTCCTTCTCTCTCCTTCCCTTCTCTCTTTGGATGGACCTCTGTCTGGAAACGATCTCTCCAAACCTGTCCTTGTAGGTCTGGTATATGATGTCCCCAATCCGATTCAGCTTGGCCTCTGCCCCTCCTTGCAGTGACTCCTGTAGGGTCTTGAGCAGGTCTGCGTCCAGTGCATGCCATGTCTCTGCTCACTAGACTTTGGCCACTTGATCTTGTTCTTTCTGGCGGGTTTCTTGGTCTCTGCCATTGGCTCTGTTCTGTCTGGTGTGGTGAGGACTTGGTCTTCGTGCTCACGTGGGGACTCGTTCTCCACCAGTGGGCCTTCTTCCTCTGTCACCCTCCTGCCTTCAGCAACATTGGGTCCATTGGCTCTGTGGTTTTTGCCCTGGCTTTAGGTCCCTCTTGTCTCACCTGCTGTTGCAGTGCAAGGTTGCTGCTGGCCATTCTGTCCACACTTTGCTTTCCCCTGGTGGATCCGTACGCCCCTAAACGTGGTCACTTTCTCCCATGCAACAGTAATACATGCAATTACTGTTTGTTCTGGAGTCAAACCAAGTCAAGCTTAATTTCTACTCATTTCCTCCCATAGGGTTATTAGAGTGAGAGATGCATGTAAGCATCTTGGTGAGGGCAGGGACGACATTATAACCTGCTTAGTTCTTTGTCATTAGTAGTATAAATATTTTATAAATAACTT